GGCTGTGGGTGACCGGTTGCTCAATATTCACATATGTACAGTTTGAGGGAGGAAGGCCGGTGCTGTCCCGGATCCCGTTGGGCAGCAGCTGGGCGGCCGCGGATGCCTTTTTGCCCCGGGAATGGTCGCCCAGCCCCGGCGCGGTCTTTCCAGGGAGGTAGGGAGAACAGTCGAGCAAGCTTTCAAACTCTGACATGGAGGAAACGGACTTGGTCCTGTGGGAAGAGAGAGGACGGGGCTCACAAGGGGACAGGGCAGCAGGTTGGGGGGCAGCTGGAGGCACCCCACTCCCACCCCAACGAGACCCTCCTGGGCACCCAGTCCTGCTCCTCATGGGAGCCCTTGGCCTCCAGGGCAAGCCTGGACCACGGCTGCATCTCTCCCCCAGCTGCCGGGGCTGCCAACCCTGGGACAGCCCTGCGCAGCCTCCTCCGTGCCCTGGGGACCATGCAGGCACCAGCACGCTCACCTTTTGAGGTTGGTTCCCTTGGCTTCTGCTTCAGAGCTTGTCTCTTTGTCTGTGATTTTTTCATTGAGAGCCTAAGAGGACACAGAAGTGAGCTGTGGTGTCAGCAAGCACAGCACCGAAGTACACAGATGGGCTGGAGCTCCCTGCTCCTCTCCAGCACTACCGCCCCGCCATGCACCCCAGCCTGGCATCCCATTCCCAGGGCTACGTGGGGCTCGCTGTGCCCACATCTATTTTACATCGACTTTTTATAACCCCACTGAAGCCCTTGGGGTTCAGCCACGCTCTCCACCCTCTCGTTTTCCCCAGTGCCTGGTGCTCCCCCTTGCAGCCTGGTTTGCTGTTCAAGGGGGTGTTATTTGGGGTTCACACTACCTCCCATCTAACCCTTAGCATAGACCTGAGCCCAACGAGCACCCCGAGAGCCCTCCACCTTCTCTTGCCCACCTCTTTCCAGTTGCTGCTGTGCTTCTCCATTTCGGAGTGTTTCAATGCCCATGGGTTGGCTCCTTTCTGCAACTGGAGAACGTGTTGGTCACTCCATGTGTGCAACATGTGCCCCTCTGGGCAAGCAAAAGCATCTGCCACTTGCCCCTGGTGTGTGCCCCAAGCGTTTGCCTGCTCTCAGGGCACACAGGGGGGGCAAGTGGCAGAGGCTGGAGGACACGTTCACGATGAGCATACACCATACCTGGTTGATTTTGTTCTGCAGGTCTTTTGCTTGCTGCTCTGCCTGCTGCTGCTCCTCCTTGAAGCGGGCCAGCAGCTCCACTTTCTCCTGGTTCCAGTTCTTCTCGCTGATCTGCAGCTGCTTGGTGAGGTCCATGACGGCACTGTAGGACTCGGCTAGGAGATGCTGGTGCTCCTCGCGCTCCCTCTTCAATGCCACCTTCCAGTCCGGCAGCGTGCGCTCTGCGATGCCTTTGCCTGCCTTCGACTCCAGCTGCGGGGACACATTGGTGGCTGTGGGGGACCCATGGCTCCAGCGTGGTGCTGGACATCCCCAGCTGTGGGCAGCCCGGTTCCCAGTGCAGGTCCCGTGGTCGGGCAACAAGCGTGTCCCCAAGGCCGTGTTGCACAGCACGGTTCGCCCGTGGGCACGGCCGAGCTGCCGCCAGCCCGGGCTTGCAGCCATGTCATGCCAGACGGCCCAGCAGACGGTCACTCAGTGGGACACGGGCTCAATGGCCCGTCTGCTCGGCTGCGCTCTGCCCGTAATCCTGCCCGCTGGACC